CTACTACTACTACTACTACTAATCCTATGTGTTACTACCCTTTCCGCTGCTGTCACCGGTGCTACAATATGTACGATTCCCATGCGTTGCTATCGTGATTGTTGTTGTTACGGGTGCTGATACAACAACAACTGCTACGATCATTATTCATACATCCACAAATATTATTGTTGATGCTACTATTCTTATTCCCATGGATTACTACCGTTACCACTACTGCTACTGGTACCAATGCAACTACAACGACTATTGCGATCGCAACTTCGACAACACTTATTGTTGAGGCTATCGCAATTATGCGCATGTTCGAAATGATCGTTGCGGCTATTGCTATTAATGAAAGTACACCTGCTAAAACTACAACTACGGCACCAGCAACTATTACTGTGGCGACTGCTGTGTTATTCTCGTCTTTGCTTTTGTTATTCGTACGAGCGCAGCTATCAGAACTACTATTGCTCCTGCTGCTACTGCTACTACAACTGTTGTTACTATTACTACTGCTGCGACTACTACGGCGCCACAGTCGTTGACAGTACTACCACAACTATTATTAACTCTCCCTGCGACTGTGGATATTTGTAAAGCTACAGCGAGCATGCGGATGCTGATTATGACAATGATGATGCTGCTGGTGCTGATGATGAACATGATGATGATCATGCTGATGAAGAGGAGGAGGAGGGGAGGAGGATGACGAGCGGGAGGGGCCTCCTGGGAGCTGTTTATGGCCGAGAGTTCCCAATGTCAATTCGGTTCCCACGTTTGGGCCCCGTCTTGCACCCGTATGAGAGACTTGCTTGGGATATTCTAAAATGCGGGATGGCCCTTCGGGAATCCCTGACCGTGCAGACTGAGGACTACATGGTTTGTCGGGGACATTCGACCTCGTGCCTCGGGGTACGGTGGCGGTTCAAAACGATAGCAGCAGGCAGCTGGCGCCAAGCATGAGTTGGGCTGTCCCAGTCGAGCGGTACTCTTGCCCACAGAAGAAGCGGGAGCACAAGTGCGTGTTCCAGATCATCGCCGCTTTAGGAGAGAAACCATCGTCATCATCACCATCATCATCATCAGCAGCACCGTCATCCTCATCATCACCATCACCATCATCATCACCATCTCCCTCGTCATCATCATGCACATCAGTATCGCCGCCGTCGTCATCGTCATCATCATCGCCACATTGCTGGCGCTGGCAACGATCGCAGCGATGGCGACAGCGACGGCGACGGAGAGATACGAGCTGACATTTCGAGATGCGAGGCCTGATGCCGTCGCCGTCGTCGTCGTCGCCGTCGTCGTCGTCCTCGTCCTCGTCCTCGCCCCCGCCCCCGTTCCGGCTGGCCCGCCGGCGGATTGGCCCGGCTCGGCCGGCAGAGGAGAGGAGGAGGAGGAGGAGGAGGAGGAGGAGGAGGAGGAGGAGGAGGAGGAGGGGGGTGGAGGAGGAGGAGAAGGGAAAGGAGGAGGAGGGGGAAAGGAAGAAGACGAGGAGGAGGAGGAGGCCCGTTTCGCGTGAGACATATTCGGATTCTTGGGTCCCAACGCGCCACGACATGCGATTATTTTAGTAGTCTCCTCGTACACATATGCGCAACTCCGGCGCGTTCCGCTTGAAACATCCTCGGCATTCGTATATCCGATTTCGTTTGAGCCGAGGTGATTTGGCCACCATCGCCTGAGCCATCCTCACATTTCTGGGTTCCGACATGCCCTGCCCCGCCCCGCAGTAGTCCAGCCACTTTCGCCGAACACATCCTCGTAATTCTAGATTCCGAAACGCCTTCGGATGAGGTGGACATGCCACTTTTGCATTAGAGGTCCTCACAAATCTGACCTCGGAGGTGCCGTGCCCCATGGTGGTTTGGCCACTTTCGCCAATAACATCTCCGCAACTGTAGCTGCCGAGACGCCCAAGGTTGAGGTGTACAGGTCACTTTCGCGTCAGACATCCTCGCAAGTCTGACCGCGGAGTTGCCCTGCCCCCAGCCCCATGGTGGTCAGGCCACTTTCGCCTGCCGCATCCTCGCAACTGTGGGTTCTGGGATACCCTGAGCTCAGATATTCGCGCCATTTTCGCTTGAGACATCCTCGCATCGCTGGCCTTAGATACTCCCTGCCCCAAATTGTGTTGGCCAGTTCCGCTTAGACCAACTCGAAGTGTTGACCTGGGATGTGCCCTGCCTTGAAGTAGTCTGATTCCGGATCTGCCGCGGGATACGGTGTTCAGGCCATTTTCGCTTGAGACGCCCTCGCACCTCTAACTTCGGAGATGCCCTACCCCATAGCGGTCCGGCCACTTTCGCCTGCGACATCCTCGCAACAGTGGGTTCCGAGACGCCTAAAGCTGACCTGTCCAGGCTACTTTCGCATGAGACACCCTCGTAACCCTCGATTCTGACATGCCCTGAGCTGAATGGTCAGGCCACATTCGCCTTAGACATCCTTGGAGATCTGACCTCGGATACGCCCTGCCCCAAATTGGTTCGGCCACTGTCGCCTGAGACCCTCGCAGGGCCTGCGCTACCACGCAGATCATCGTATGCGGCGGGGGAGGCTCGGACCCCTGCGGGATTCCGTCCGCGCAAGAGCCAATCACAAAACTCACGCTGATCAGGGAGAGCCGCCCCAGAGCCGTCGCCGTCGTCGTCGCGGCGGGGACCTGACAACCAGCCGATAAACCGATAAACCGGCAAACCGATATGCGGCACAAGGATCGACTCCTCAGGTTTGCCCCCAGCGGCTTCAGACCAGCCAGTCACCCGATGAGCCGATAAACAGATAAACCGACGAAGAAGGAGAGCGCGCCGGCCATCGTCTCTATGTTCGCGGATAAAGGTTATCTCCGTTTTTTGTATATATCGACAGACCGACCGATATATCGATATAATCATATCGGTTTATCGGTCGATCTGCCGATATACCGATCAACCGATTTATCGGTTGATCGGTCGGATGGATTTCCGGAGGCCGTTGCCGCTGCACTCTTTTTTTTTTTCTCTCTCTCTCTCTCTCTCTCTCTCTCTCTCTCTATATATATATATACAAGTCTGCAGTGGCGCTTCGCGCCATGCACCTTGGTCCTTGAAGTTTGGCATGCAGGCGGAATGGCAGGAAGGTCAAACCGACAATTTAGCGATAAATTCTTGTTGTGTTTTCCAGCATCGCCGCTAAAATGATGTTATTCGTTATCCTTCCTCCATGCTTATTTTTTCGTTCTCGCCATACCGTGCGCATTTTCCCCATCCTCCTCAGCTCTTTTTGCGGAGGCTCCTCGTTGGATAGCCTTTGGGGGCCTCACAACAGTTTCAGGCCTTCTTCAGGCCTTCTGGAGGCCTCCTGGGCGTGTTCTGGAGGTTCTGGGGGCTTCCTCGGGCCACCCTGCCTCCAACCGCGGTTTCCCTGAACGACTGGGTCACGATTTGGAATGATTCGGAGGGTGTCTTGGGGCCGTCTTGGGCCGCCATGGGGCTCTCTTAGGGCCATCTTTGACCCCTGTTGTGCCGTTTTGGGGCTCTATTGGACTGCCTGGAAGCCCTTTCGGATGGTTGTTGGGCGATTTTGGAGCCTCCCAGGCGGCTTCGGACGCCCAGAAGACTGCCGTATTGGAGCGTCGGGAAGCCGAAAAGAGAACCCCACAATGCACCAAACACCCGCAGAAAATCAATGATTGTTGCCTCTTGGGGCCTTCTTGGGAGTGCTCTTGGAAACTTTTTGAAGCCTTTGGGGCCGTCCTGGAGGCCTCTTGGGCCATCTTGAGGTCACGTCGGTCACTCTTGGTGCGCTCTTGTGCTGTCTTTGGGGTTTCGGGGGCGTCTCCGATGACCCCCCTGATCGCCCTAGGTGTGGTGGGAACGCTTGGCGAAACGCCCTGCGAGGCCGGGGGGGCCGCTTCGAGGCCCGTCTGGAGGATCCCAAAACCCCAGATCCCGGGAGCCCGGTTTGGGGGGGGGTCCCCCCGTCCGGGCTTATAAGAAGATAGAAAGAGGAATGTATGTATGCGTGTGTGTGTGAGTACATGGTGTCTCCTCGTGTATGCGTCTCTGTCATTGTGCAATGCCCAGAGGAAAGCTTAAGATATCAGGATTGCTGCCGCAGACTCCAGCCGCGCCCCAATCATACACATGTCTCTCTCTCTCTCTCTCTTTCTCGGCTTTGTTCCCGTCGGATCGCTCCGTGTATTTGTCTCTGTGTGTGTGTGTCTCTCTTTCTTTCTTTCTCTCTCTCTCTCTCTATCTGTCTTTTTTTTATCACTCTGCCTGCCACTGACCCTCTTTCTATATCAGTGTAGATGAGCATCTCTTTACGTATATACAATCGCATGTACACATACTTGTACGCATACATAATTACACAAGCTGGCAAACATATATGCATGCGGACGTACACATGAGTGTATGCCCACACTGCTTGTGGAAGCAGTCGTCTCACTCTTTCTAGACGTAGTATGCGTGCAAATGCTTGTCACTGCTTGTGTCTGTCTCTCTCTCTCTCTCTCTCCGCCTCTGTCTCTCTCCCTCTATGGCGAGCCCAGGGGTCAGCCGCGAAGGGCAGGCCTTCTCAGAATGCGGCGGGGCTTCTCGAAGGCCCTCTGGCCTTCCGAGAGTTCGTCTGCGCCTTGGGCGAAGGCTTAAGACGCTTCTCAGCGGGCTCCGAGGCCTTCCGAGCCTTCTGAGAAGGCCCGCCTACTCTTACTTCCCCCTGGACTCGCCGCCGACTCTCTCTCTCTCTCTCTCTCTCTCTCTCTCTCTTTCTTGTTCATATCCATACATCCGGCGGCTCGATTTGTTCGAGACACGGCCCCTCCCGACCGCTCGACCACTTCCCCTGGACAGGTTGTGCACCCCGAGCCGTTTTTTGACAGCCCCGAGGCCAGAGAGGGGCCCCGGGAGTTCAAAACTATGAAGGTCCCCCGTCTCGATTCTTTACCGGCGTTGGATGTTTGGGTGCCCGTTTCTGATCACTGCCGCTCGTCTTGCCCCCTCCCCGCCACTCGCGCTTAGGTGGGTGTGCAGTTCTTCCTGCCCACGGCCCTCGACCCACTGGCTGCCGCCGCCGAGGACGGCGCGGACGGCTCGGCGGTGCAGGCTGGGCCTTGCCGTGCTGACGAGGGCAGGAGGGGCTCGGGGCTCGGTATCGTTTAACCGATCCCCATCTCCATCCCCATCCCCGTCGAGACCCCTACCAAATCATTACCCCAGTTGGGGATACACTCCTCGAAACCCGAAGGGAACTACCTATATCCCCATCTAGGGGGGTGAATCGGCCAGTGGGGCCCAGGCCATGCCGCTGGGGATGGGGATCGGTTAAACGATACTCAGGTGAGTGCAGACGGGGGGCAGCAAGAGCGCTGGCTCTTGCAGGATCCTGCAGGGCCAGGGTCGCATTGACCCGGTCTGGGTGCAAGATCTTGCTGTCCTGTGGTGTCTTGTTGTGCCCGTTGAGTGAGATCGATAGTGAGATCGATTGAGTCTGATGTTGGTTCCCTCCCCTCTCCCCGCCCCCCACAACCTCCTGATCACCCGCAGGGTGGTCGTATAGGTAGTAATATAAAAACAAGAACGGGGATTATTGCTTGTTTCTTCAACCATTTCGGACATTCTTTATTACCTATACGACCACCCTTCGGGTGATAAGGAGGTTCGGGGTGGGGAGGAACCAACGTCTCACTCGATCGGTCTCACTATCGATCTCACTATCGATCTCACTTTCAGTCTCGCTCGATCTATCTCACTCGATCGATCTCACAATCGACCTCACTCGATCTATTTGATTCGATCGATCTCACTATCGACCTCACTATCGATCTCACAATCGACCTCACTATCGATCTCACGATCGATCTCACAATCGATCTCACATTCAGTCTAACTATCGATCTCACTATCGATATCACAGTCGATATCACCATCAACGTAACCATCATCATCCTCATCGTTATCATCGTCATCAACGTCATCAACATCATCAACAGCAGCATCATCGGGACACCATCATTTTCATCATCACCTCATCGCCATCATCATCGACATCATCATCAGCACCATCATCATCATCGGGACACCATCATCGTCACCACCATCATCATCAACAGCATCATCGGGACACCAGCATCATCATCGGGCGACCACCATCACCATCATCATCCCATCACCATGGTCATGAACAACATCATCAACAACATCATGATCGGGGCACCATCATCATGAGCAACATCATCATCATCATCAACATCATCCTCATCGGAACACCATCATCATCGTCACCATCATCATCATCATCAGCATCATCATCATCAGAATCATCATTATCTTCGGGACACCGGCATCATCATCATCATCAACATCAGCATCATCACCATCAATGGGCAACCATCATCAAAATTATCATCATCACCTCAACATCATCATCTTGGGCACACCATCATCGCCATCATCAACCTCATTATCATCATAATCGGGGCACCATCACCATCATCACCATGATCGTCAACAGCGTCATTATCGACCTCATCATCATCACCATCATCATCGGGACACCAGCATCATCATCATCTCATCATCATCACCATCAAATTACCTGAGCATCATCAACATCATCAGGATCATCAACATCATCATCATCATCATCATCATCATCATCATCATCATCATCATCGGGGCACCATCATCATCATCCGCAGCAACATCATCATCAACATCATCATCTGGGCACCATCATCATCACGACCATCACCATCATCATCATCATCATCAACATCGTCAACATCATCATCACTATCATTATCATGACACCATCATCACCACCATGACCATCATCATCACCGTCAACATCATCAACATCATCATCATCATCATCATCATCATCATCATCATCATCATCATCATCGGGACACCGACGGGACACCGGCGGGACACCGGCGGGACACCGCGCGCCAACGGCCCCCGAGCGGGACACCAGCCGGAAGGGAGACGTTTGTTCCGGCCGCGCCTCAGCTACAGAAGACTTATTTCTCGCCCGCCCACGCAGCTTCGCCTCGCCCGCACGCGCGGCACGCACGAACACGAAACCGAAACCGATTTCTCGTTAGGGGGGCTCTCCGTTCCACTTCGATCTCACCCCCTCACCTCCGATTTTTAATTTCTTCCAACATCCGCCTGGAGGGGGACATACCCGATCTAACTCTGGGGGCGCGTCCACTCGGAGTCCCGGCGCAGGCTGCGGAGAGGAGCCCAAAATGCAGTCACAAGCACAGAGGGGCCGTCTGGGGATTCCTCCGTCCCCCCCTCCCCTTCCTCCCCATCCCCTCCCTCCCTCCCTCCCTCCCTTCCTCCCCCTTCTCCTCACCCCCTTTCTCTCCCCCATCCTCCGTCCCCCCCTCCCTGTCTGGCCCTCCTCCCCCTCCTTGCTGCCGTGGTTCAGACGTTGGGTGCAAAGCATGTTCCTCCCCCTCCTCCTCCGCGTCCTCCTGTGGGGCAGCGGCCCCTCGGCCGGGCGCCCCGCGCGCGCGGTCGGGCAGTGCGGCACGCGCCTCGGCCGAGGAGTTACGGGCGCGCCTCCCCCAGGAGGTTTACTACGGTGCGGGCGCTCGAGGAGGATCCCCCATCTGGCCCTCCTCCCGCTCCTCCCTGCCTGGCCCTCCTCCCCCTCGTTTTCGCCGTGGTTCCGACATTAGGTGCAAAGCTTGGTCCTCCCCCTCCTGTGGGACAGCGGCCCCTCGGTCGGACGCCCCGCGCGCGCGGGCAGTGCAGCACGCCCCGGCCGACGAGGTGAGGGGCGCGCCTCCCCCAGTCGGAGGTGAGGGGGTGAGATCGAAGTGGAACGGAGAGCCCCCCTACCGGGAAATCGGTTTCGGTTTCGTGTTCGTGCGTGCCGTGTGTGCGGGCGAGGCGAAGCTGCGTGGGCGGGCGAGAAGAAAGTCTCCTCTGGCTGAGGCGCGGCCGGACCAAATGATTCCTTTCCGGGGGCCGGTGGCCCGCGGTGTCCCGCTGGTGTCCCGCCTCCGGCTGAAGCGCGGCGGGACTACCTGATTCCTCTCCGGGGGCCGGAGGCCCGCGGTGTCCCGCCGGTGTCCCGTCGGTGTCCCGATGATGATGATGATGATGATGATGATGATGATGATGATGATGATGATGATGATGCTGATGATGATGATGATGATGGTGGTGGTGATGATGATGATGATGCTGATTATGCTGATGATGCTGATGCTGCTGATGAGGATGATGATGATGATAGTGATGGTGGTGATGATGATGGTGTCCCGATGATAATGCTGATGATGATGTTGACGATGTCGATGATGATGGTGGTGATGGTAGTGATGATGATGGTGTCCCGATGATGATGATGTTGATGATGCTGATGTTGCTGATGATGATGATGATGGTGCCCCGATGGTTGTGATGATGCTGATCCTGATGATGTTGATGCTGATGGGATGATGTTTACGTGATGATGGTGATGATTATGAGTGTGTCCCGATGATGATGATGATGGTGAGGTATGATGATGATGATGGTGGTGCTGATGATGATGGTGTCCCGATGGTGATGTGAATGATGATGATGAAGATGATGGTGTCCCGATGATGATGATGACGATGATGATGGTGATTCTGATGATGAGGATGATGATGGATGAAGATGTTTTTGGTGATGGTGGTCCGATGATGGTGATGATGATGATGTCGATGATGGTGATGATGATGGTGTCCCGATGATCATGATGGTGTTGATGGTGATGATGATGATGATGGTGTCCCGATGGTGATGATGATGGTGATGTTGCTGATTATGATGGTGCCCCGATGATGATTATGATGATGATGATGATGTTGGTGATGCTGCCCATGATGATGATGACATGATGATGATGATGATGATGATGATGGTGTTCCGGTGATAATGATGATGATGGTGCCCCGAGGATGCTGATGTTGATGATGATGATGGTGACGACGATGGTGTCCCGATGATGATGATGATGGTGATGATGATGATTGTGATGAGATGATGATGCTGGTGTCCCGGTGATGATGATGATGATGATGATATTGATGACGTTGATGGCGATGGTCTTGATGATGAGGATGATGACGTTGATTGTGGTCTTGATTGTGATATCGATAGTGAGATCGAGAATGAGACCGAATGTGAGATCGATTGTGAGATCGATAGTGAGATCGATAGTGATATCGATTGTGAGATCGGTAGTCAGATCGATTGTGGGATCCATCGATTCAAATATATCGAGTGAGATCGATTGTGAGATCGATCGAGTGAGATCGATCGAGCGAGACCGGTAGTGAGCTCGATCGTGATATCGATAGTGAGACCGATCGAGTGAGACGTTGGTTCCTCCCCCCCGAACCTCCTTATCACCCGAAGGGTGGTCGTATAGGTAGGTGTATTGCGGTGTGGGCGCTCGTTTTGAAGAGGACCCCCCTTTGTCTGATCTGGGAGGTGGTGCTGTCAATGGCCAAGCCCCAACCGAACGACGCAAAAGAAAACGGTGTCCTCTGCGCCGACGTTGGCGCGTATAAGCAGCCCGCGTAAAGTCGCGCGCAAGCGCTCCCGTCTCCAATGCAGCGTGCCTCGGTGGCGACCCGCGTAAGCCGCCGCGTGAGGTCGCTATGCCATCTCGCGAAAGACCCGTTTTTGATCGTCGCGCAATTGGTGGCCCACCGGCTTCCAGACCCTGGATTCCTTTCCAGGGGGTCCTTGTCCAACGCCCTCACCGTAGGAGGTTACGGGCGCTCCTCCTCTGGGAGTTGGGGGGGGGGGGGGCTGCCCGACTGCATTGTTGTGGAGGGATCTATCAAGCTCTCCGCCGCCTCTGTCGGTGTGCGTTGCGAGCAGGAGCGCGGCAAAGCCACAGGAGAGCCCGGTATTAACAGCGTAGCTTCGAACACGTGACACATGCTCACGAGCAAGAACACAGAAAAGCCCCAGGTGAGCGAGGCATTGACAGTGCAGCCCGACATTGACATGGCAGTGGTCGGGGAGCCCCCGCAACCGGTCCACGAGCGTTGTTCCACCCCGGCGGGTGTTGACAGAGGACGCGCTTCTCAGAAGATCTTGCAAGTCAGCGGTGGGAGCTGGTTCTCTGCTTTTTCAAATTGGCGTTTGTTTTCCGCTCATGGCGCGGCTTCTGTGACGCTGTCAGGTCCTGGATCGGCCCCGTGGCCCCCATGCCCGCTTTCTACAAGTCGCCAATGCGTTGCTGCATGTTTCGGACAACCACCGCGCCGCCTGTTTGACGTGCACTTTCGAGGATGGCATTTTCATGCGTTTTGGTAGGGTGAATGACGATAACATTGAAATCACAGGAACAATCGTATCACAGTAACAACCGTACCTATACGACCACCCTGCGGGTGATAAGGAGGTTGGGGGGGGCCCAGCAATGGGCAACAGTGGTGAATGTTGTTGTGACAATGCCAGTGGAGATAGTTGCGTTGCCAATCATCATCATCATCATCATCATCATCATCATCATCATCATCATCATCATCATCATCATCATCATCAACATCAACATCAACATCAACGTCGTCATCATCATCATCATCATCATCACAATCATCATCACCATCATGGCCATCATCACCATCAGCATCGCACAATCGATCTCACATTTGGTCTCACTATCGATATCACAATCGATCTCACAATCGACGTAATCATCATCATCATCATCATCATCATCATCATCGTCATCATCAACGACACCAACATCATCATCATCATCATCATCGCCATCATCATCATCATCATCATCATCATCATCATCATCATCATCATTACCATCATCATTATCACCAGCATCATCACCATCGTCATCATCATCATCATCATCATCATCATCATCATCATCATCATCATCATAATCATCCACGTCATCATCGGGACACCGACGGGACACCGAAGGGACACCAGCGGGACACCGGCGGGACACCGCGCGGCACCGGCCGCCCGGTCACGATTCTTTTGCCCCGGCCGCGCCTCAGCCACACGGGACACCAGCGGGACACCAGCGGGACACCGCGGGGCACCGGCCGCCCGGTCAAGGTTCTTGTGCTCCGGCCGCGCCTCAGCCAGAGGAGACTTTCTCTCGCCCGCCCACGCAGCTTCGCCTCGCCCGCACGGCACGCACGAACACGAAACCGAAATCGATTTCCCGGTAGGGGGGCTCTCCGTTCCACTTCGATCTCACCCCCCAACCTCCGATGTTTGCCAGCGACGGCCCCTACCAGGAAGCGACCGTAATCCAGATGTGCCACATACAAGACCCAACGCAAGTGGTGCTATAGGTTGCGCCAAGGGTTGCGCCTGGAACGTGGCGGAACTTCGCCAAACGGCAACGGGCGGCAACGGGCCAGGTGATCGTTTTTGATTCGTTGTTTTGCCGATCGGCGCGGGCCCTTAACCCCCCCCTCCCCCCCATGGAGTAGATCTTGGCTGTTTTTTGGCGCCTGTTTCGAGCAGGTGGAGCCTCCCTCGTAGGACGCACTGCTGCAAACAGTCGCACCAAGCAGAGGTCCAGAGCCAGACCCCTCCCCCCTCCCCCCCCCCTTCCGCCCGATGTCGAAACGCCGAAAAAGATAACACTGACCAGAGCATGGCGAATCCTCGGGACACCCCCACAGGCGGCAACGGCCGGCAGCGGGCGGCCCACAGGCGGCAGCGGGCGGCACTCGGCCCGAACGTGACGCACCGCCGGGGCGAATCCCACTGGCGGCAACTGCCAGCAGCGGGCGGCAACGGGCCAGAACGTGGCGATCCATCGGGCCCCCCCCCACGGACGGCAACGGACGGCAACGGGCGACCATTGGCCAGAGCGCGGCGGATCCTCTGGACACCCATCCAATTCCTTAGAAGCGCAAGCAAGAAGCTGAAGTGCAAGCACTGTTCGGGGAATATGGAGGAAACAGCTCCCGCACTTCCAGTAGCAATTATGTGTACGGGGGCAGCGAAGCGTCGGTCGGGGATCGGGGTGTCTTGTTGTGGGGCGCGGTGGACGGATGATGTGGGATGTCGTATGCGGGTGCCGCTCCATAGTTTGTCTCGCCTCCTATGGCTCGCTCTTGTGAATCCCACCTCTTATGAGTCAGGACACCCGCACCATGGATGTGAGAGGGCATGGCTGTGAAATGGGTGGGGAGGTGGAGGCATTACAGAGTCAGTCTTCCAAGATGACAGAAGCAGCAGGAAACAGAGAAGGCAGAAGGGGAAGATGCGGAGGAAGAGGAGGAGAAAGAGGAGAAGGAGGACCAGAGTGCTGTTCGAGAAAGACGGCGCTCCGCAGCACCAGAGCTTCGTGGTCGTGGCAGCGGAGGGCCGCGAATCGTCCACGGTCGCTCCCTCTGCTCGCTGCAAGCGGGAGGTGGATGTGGGCGGCAGGTCCTCTATCCCCCCTCCCGCCATTCAGCTCCCCTGCTCGCCTCCTCGCCGATCTCCTCTGGCCAGTGTCGGCGCTGCTCTCTGCCACCCCCCCCCCCCCCCTCCGCTCTCCCTGACCAGCTTGATCGGCGGCGTGCCGCAGCGCTGAGCATGCCAGAGCGAGGGAGCACGCTGGGCGGAGAGCGGACCGACAGAGGCCCCGCGGGTTCCCAACGGCGGGCGGAGGCACTGCTCGGGCAGGTGCGGGTGCGGGGACGTCCAGCGGGGCGAGAGCCAGGGCTTGGGTCCCGCGTGGACGTGCGATCGCCTACCACCGCAGCCAACAGACTGAGGCCGGGCCCAGCACATACACATCCGCCTTCGCTCTGCTTCGTCCTTTCCCGTGCGTGCGGCTCGGTGGGTGGTCGGAGGCCTCTGCTTGCTGCTGTCCTGGCCCAGCGCCTTGGCGCGTCGCCGAGGAGAGTCGCCGCAAGTTGGTCCAGAGAAGGAGGAGGATGATGATGAGGAGGAGGAGGAGGAAGGGGGAGGAGGAGGAGGAAGTGGTAGGAGGAGGAGGAGGAGGAGGAGGAGGAGGAGGAGGAGGAGGAGGAGGAGGAGGAGGCTTGACTTGTGTGTCTCTTGCGCAGAAATCCTCCTCCGGGCAAGCGAGCCTACAGTCTCGGCTCCTCTCTTCGAGCAAGCCCGCGGCTCTGTGGGGGGACGGCAGAGGCCACTGCCGAGCGCCAGGAGGGGTTGGAGGTGGCCAGGGGGTCTGACCTGGCTGGTTGCCCAGAAAATCAGTTAGGGGGGGATGGGGCCAAATCCGTTCAAAGTCAGACCCCGGACCCCTCCCAAGATGCATCTGGTGTAGTTGTACCCCAGGCCGGTTGTTTCATTGCCCTTACGGGCCCCCCGAGACCTAAGAAGGCGCAAAATCATCCCAAACCCAGGGCCTCTCCTGCTGGCTGGAATCAGTGCTCGGCCACCGCAGAGCCCCGAAGTGGGGGAAGGGACCAAAGGCCCCCTGCCCTCGCCGTGCTCTCCTGCGCCTCGCTCCGCGCGTCTGGGCCGTGGCGTGTCCTCCTCGCCCGGACCTGCCCGCGCAAGCTGGCCCGACCCGCCCGCCAGGGCCTGCCTGTCCGAAGCGCCTGGGATCGGAGCGCCAGGGTCCAGCCACGCGCAGAAGGGGGGGAGGGGGAGGGGGGGGGGCACCTCAGACGAAGGCTGTTTCTAAGGAGGCCTGGGCCTGGTCTGTAGATGTAGGGCCCGCGCCTTGCCAGAAGCAGCCTCCTTCGAAGAAGCCTTGCCTCCCTCCCATTTTCCCCTTTTGTGCGAGCCGCGAAGGGATCCGCGCCCTTACGCGGCCCGTGGCCCGTGGGGCGGGAGCGGCAACGCGCGGAGCGGGCACGGGCTTTTTTCGGGGGCAGCGACAAATGGGGGGAGGGGGGGGGGGGGGTAGGCATAGGGGGGACCCGCCGTCCCCTGGTCGCCCATGGTGGATTGCCGATGCGGTGTGATGGCCTTCGCCCAGCCCAGGAACGTGCGGATCTGCTGTCGCGGCCCTGTCGCCGATCTATCGGCGATATATCGACGATTCCAAGTCAATCTTGCCGCCCCTATGCCACTTCCCCCAATGACGCGTATGCAGGAGAGCCGTTACAACATCGGTTTGCCCAAGAGTCGAAATTCAAAAGTCGCACTTTACTTCAGCGCTGCATTCGCTGAGTCGCTGCGCGTTCTGAAACAGTCTCCATGTCGCGAACATTCGATATGGTTTACTTGAGTCTTCGTGGGGCGTTTCAAGAGATCGAGGGCAGTTTGGGTTTTTTTGTGTTGTGTGTATTCGCTCAGATTTTTTTGCCTTCCACCCCGTGGGCTTGTCGATTCGTCACGACGCCAGCGGACTCATCGAACATCCCGTCGGGCCCGACGGACCTATCCCAGTTGTTTCCCAACGCAGCGTGCGCGCACCAAATTGTGCGTCCAACTTCAGGCGCGGTTCGAACATTTCCACCGCATGGTCCAATCTAGCGTACAGCGCGCGGCGGGCGTATAGTTTTTGGGAAAGTCGTCACGTTGGCCTGGATCAAAGTGCACAGACAGCGCGCGCGCCGATTGAAGTCCCAACGTTACAATTTGGCGAAACGCGCAACAAGCGCGCCAGCGCGTCGCTGTCGCGCCAGCCGCTCGCGCGCGCGAGCGAGCTGCGTTCATTTGCGATGCAGAATTGTTCGCGCTGGCTTGGTCCGCGTAACTTGGGCGACCCGCAAGCGCGCGGGGGGAGTTCTTCATTGCACATGTTGCTAAACATACAAAAATTCCGATGTGCTCTTCGAGCGTTCATCGGTCACCGCTAAGAGTTCACTGTTGGTTTCCAGGACCAACATGCCGACGTCTCTCTCGTGGACAAAACAGAACCCTCCACGCGCGCACGAGAGGAGTTCTGGGTTGCCCATAATCCGAAACATACGGCAGCAGCCATGTGAATTTCACAATCCACCCAGTCACCGTTACGGGTTCCTTCCTTGCTTCCATGCAGACATGCCGACTTCTCGATTTTGGACAGCGCAGCGCTCCCCAAGCGCCCGGGCGCGTGCTCTTGCGAGGAGAGTACTTATTGGTCCGTGATACAACACACGCACCACCATTTATACTTGGATACGCAAGCCTGCGACCTTTAAGCATCCACTTTCAGTTTTCAAGTCAACATGACCATGTTTCTATTGCTGACAACCGTGCGCGCGCTGGAAGTCCTGCGTTGACTATAGCGCAAGGCAGACACCAGAGACCATGTTAATGTGGAATGCCAGTCCGTCATATGTGCAGGCCCATCCTGATCCCCAGGCAAACCTGGCGACTTCTTTGCAGTGGACAATGCAGAACTAACGCCCTACGCGAGCGCGAGTGTTGGACGTTCTGCACTGCCCATTCTACATGTCGAAAACAATGCTCACTTGGAGTTCCAACCGGTCACCGTGCAGGGTTGACTTCAGTTGCCAGGCCAACGTGCATAATATATTGTCTGGGCGGCGCAGAGCACCCGAAGCGCGCGCGGACGCACGCGCGCGGGGGGGCGTGCATTTTCCATTCTACACAACGTAGAACAGAAAGCACGTCGACGTGGCAACACCCAGGCCAACGCGGTCATTTTTTCTATGTGGACAAGACAGAAAACCCCACGATCGCGCGCGGACGCGCACGCGCGCGCACGCGTTCTGCAACGTCCACCCCTGTTGGCATGGGAACTGAAGTGATTTCTGAATGGGTATCGGTTGGATTTGCACAGTATCATTGTTGTGGGTGTTCGTTTTTTTATATCAAAAATCGTAGTTTTTTTATAAAATATGCTGGGCAAGATAGAACGCCCCACGCGCGCGCGTCCGCTCGCGCGCAGGGAGTTTCGCGTTCTCGCCACAGGGGAAGTCGGATGGTTGGCTTTGCATCCAACGTGAACCCTCAAAGGTACTTGCTTGCATTCCCCAGCTCGCATGGATCCCGGTGAATATTTCGCATTTTGGACAAGGCAGAACTCGCCGCGCGCGCGCGCCTGCGTGAGCGCGCGGTCATGCCCAAAGCGCGCAGAGTGGAACAGTCGCCATGTCGGGCTGGAAACATAAAACAGATTCTTAAGTGTGACGGGTTGGATGCTCAAGTTAGCGCGGGTTGTGATGTGTATCTTGCGCCGAGAACAATGCAGAAACCTTCGCGCGCGCAGTCGTGGGGAGCTCTGATTTGTCCCCAACGCAATGTTGCCATGCTGGCCTGGAACTTACCCAATCCTTCTCCGCAGTATGTGTTCTTCATTGTGAACACGGCTTCTGGCTTATGCTTTGTTTGGCTGGCCATGCGGAATTCCCCGCGCGCCGCGCGCGTGGGGGCCATGCGTTGTCCGCGCTGGAAGTGGCGCCATAGTTCTATGAATACGAACTTGAACGTTTAGCGGTGGCTCGTTGGATTGCCGCGGTAACGCCGGCACTGGGGAACGCAGAACTCACCGCGGGCGCGCGCGCCCTCGCGCGCGCGAGGAGTTCCGACTCGTCCGCAATAGGGATTCTCCGTGCACCCTAAACGGTGACCGAACGGAACCCAGAGGTAATGCGGGCTCTGGTGCATGTTTGGCGCCGCGGGCAGCCCGGGGCCTAGAACTCCCCGCGCGCGCCCGCGCCTGCGCGCGGGCGGCGGGGAGGTCTGTTTGTAACGCGACAGAACAGGCGCCGTCTCGCCGCGACAGATCGGGCCCCCACGCTGACCTTTGTTATGGTGCATGTCTTGTATAGTGGGCAACCCGGAACTCCCAGCGCGCGCGCGTCGGGAGTTCTGCGTTGCTCAGTGTAGAAATGTCACCATACGGCCCAGGAGCCAAACTGAACCCTCAACGCTTGCCGATGGGATTGTTGCATTGGATTTGTTTCTGGCGCGCTGCGCATCCATAGACAAGCAGCCGTGTCATCCTGAAAAACTAGCGGCCCGCAACGGTGATTGGGGTTCCCAGCTGACATGCCCTTTGCGCATGTTTTGCACGATGGCCCATTCAGAAATTATCACGCGCGCGCGGGGAGGTCTGCCCTGGCATTCAAAGCCGCGATGCTGGCTTTTTTTTATATATATATATATATATATATATATTATTATTATTTATATATATATATATATATATAAATATATATATAAATAATAATAATAAACCATAACCGCAAAAGGCGACCAACTCGATCTGGAAGATAACATGGTGTTTGGCGCTAGCATCGCGGGCTAGACAGAACCTCTTCTCGCAAGCCCAATCGCCCAGGAAGAGGTTGCATGTGCACAACTCCAAAGTCGACGCGTCGGCTTGGGCACTCAAATGAACCGTAAAAAGGCAGTCGATTGGGTTTCCAACACATCTGAGTTCTGGCGCGGGCGTTTCCACGCATACACTACAGCATTACCCGCGCGTGGACGCGCGCTAGCGCGGGAGTCGATTTCTGCCCACACCCGGAAAACCGCAATGTTGGCGTTGAAATGCATGAGGCCTCAGCGGTTGCCGATTCGATTTGCAAGTGCACGCTGGTTGTGAGCATTTCTGCAGTATTGAAAAGGAAGCGCTACTCAATCCTGCGAGGCGCTGCGAAGCGCAGTTGGACGCCGCTAGGCCCCGCAAAACCTTGCTCGGCATCAGGAAGCCCTGCTAGGCCATGATACGCCCTGCCCTCACAAGCGCCGCCGAGCACAATTAAATCCTGCCAAGCCTTGCCGGGACCTGCGAAGCCCTGCGAAGCCCTGCGCTGTGCGGCTACTCGCCCCCAAACACTGCCTCGCGTTGTTGAGCCTTGCCGTGCTTGGCTGGGCCTTTCTGAGCCCTGCTGAGCTTTATAATGCGCTGCAGTTCCTGCGTAGGCCCTGCCAGAACTTGTTTGGCCCTGCCAGGCCCGGCGAGTTCCTGCGTGGCGCTGCTGCGCCCTGCTGAGCGCTGCTAATCCATGACGGGCCTTTCCAGGCGCTGCTGGCCGCTGCTGAGCCTTGCTGAACCGTGCTAGGCCCTGCAAAGCGCTCCTAAGCTGCGCTGAGCCCCGCCAAGCACAACAACAGCACATTCTGAGTTTATAAGCCCTGCCAGGCCCTGCGACGCCGTGAGCAGCTTTGGCGAGCCCTGCGGAGCGCTGCCGAGCTCTGCTCAGTGCCGCCATGCCTTGCGCAGCGCCGCTGCGCGCTGCAAAGCGCTGTTGGGCCCTGACAGGCTCTGCAATGCCTTGCTAGGCGTTGCTCAGCGCTGCTGGGAGCCGCCAGGGCTTGCCAAGCGCTGCTGGGCCACGCCAGCGCCCAGCTTGTCCGTGAAAATCATGGCGAAGCGCCGCGCAGTCCTGATAAGCCTTGCGCATCGCAGCTGAGCCCTGCTAGGCGCTGCTAAGAAGTGCTCTGCGCTGCTGAGCCCTGCCAATCACTGCTAGGCCCTGCCTGGCGGTGCCAGGGCTGGGCATTGCCAGGCTCTGCCGAGCGCCGCTATGCGCCCCTGGGCGCTGCCGAGCGCTGCGCAGCCCTGCGCTGCTACGCGCTGATCAGGCCTGCCACGCACTGCTAAGCGCTGCCCTTGCTGCCAGGTCACGCTGGGCCCCGTGCGCCCCTGCTGAGCACTGCCACGCTCTGCCGTGCGCTGCGAAGCTCTGCGGGGCACGGCTAAGCGCTGCCAGGCCATTGGGGCCCTGCTGAGCCTTGCTCAGCCCTGCTAGACGCAGCTACATATTGCCAAGCGCTGCTAAGCCCAGCCACGAGCTGTTCAGCGGTATTATGCGCCGCGAAGCGTTACCCCGCCTTGCTAAGACGTGCTGAGCTTTGCTGAGCTGTGCTAGGCGCTGCCAATTGCTGCTGAATCCTGCTAGCCTCTGCAGGGCATTGCCCAGCCCTGCTGCGCACAGCTAAGCGCTCCCATTTGCAGAGAGGCCCTGCTGAGTCTTGCTCAGCCCTGCTAATCTCTGCCGGACACTGCTAAGCTCTGCTAGGCCCTGCTAGGCGCGGCAAAGCTGTGCTCGGCCCTGCTAAGCATTGCAAGGCGCTGCCCAGCCCTGCAGCGCCCTGCTAAGCCCTCCGGAGCGCTGCCAGGCACTGCTCAGTTCAGCGCTGCCACTGCAAAGTATTCCTAAGCTCTGGTAAGCCAAGCTACGCCTTGCAAGTCCCTGCCAGGTGCACTGGGCCCTGCTCGGCGCTCCCATGCGCTGCCTAGTGTTGTCAAGCCGTGGTAGAACCTGCCAAGCCGTGATTGAGAAGCCTTGCAAGGACCTGCTAAGCCTTGCTCGACACCTTGCCGTGCATTGCCAAGAATTGCTGTGCGCTGCCGGGCGCTGCTGATCGCTGCTAGCCCATGCTTGGCCTTGCCGAGCCTTGCGAAGCGCTTCTTGGCCCTGCGAAGCCTTGCTTAAAGCTTAGCTGAGCGCCGCCAATCTCGGCGGCGCGCTTATAAGCGTGGCGTGGCCCTGCTAAGCCCTACGTGGCGCAGCAAAACCTTGCTGGGCGCTGCTAGGCGGTTCGCAGTGCCTGGCAAGGCGTGGCGCGCTTAGCAGCGCCCGGCAAGTCTTGCTGGGCGCTGCTAAGCGCGCCACGCCTTGCCAGGCACTGCGAATCGCTGCGAAGACTTGCCTAAGTATGATAAACGCAGCTCGGCTCTGTGACAGAGCTGAGCAACCTGAGGTGCGGGCTTTTCCTTGCCACGAGATCATCAGCCCTGGTTGCGTTCATTTCGGTTTTCGACAACCTTCATGCGTGGTTGCACATATTTCGTTCGTTGTTTTCGACGTAGGAAGGAACCTTTACCCTCGGTTGCACCCATAATTGTTCAGGGGGTTCACCCAGGGTTGCACATCTAGGTTTCCCCAGGAACCTTCACCCCAGGTTGCACACACATCTGGGGTTGCACGTTCTTCGCCTCCCGACTGTCATTCCCTGCGACACACCGCGGAGCATTGCTGAGCGCTGCTCAGCCTTGCTCAGCATTGCGAAGCTTGCAAGCATTGGGAAGGCCATCTAGTAGCAAATCAGTTCCCGAGCCCTGCTGAGCCGAGGCATGCTTAGCCATGCTAAGCCTTGCAAGCACCGCCAGGCGCCGCCAAGCAGCACTGAGCCCTGTTAAGCCGCGGCATGCTATGCTAGTCGCTGCTGGGCCCAGCCCGGCCCTGCTAAGCCTTGGAAGGCATGGTTAAGCCGTCATGCGGCTTGCTTGTCGCTGTTCATCGTTGTTTGGCCCTGGTAGGCCTTGATGAGCTATGCTAAGCCATGCCAAGCGCTGCTGAGCCCTGCTTGGCTCTGCTATGCTTGGAAAAGGCCCGGGTAAGCCTTGGTGAGGCTTCCGAAGCCCAGCGAAGCTCTGCCCATCGCGTGCTCAGAGCCCTCGTAGTGGCCTGCTAGGATCTGCGAAGCGTTGCTCAGTCTTGCTAAGTCCTGCTAAGTGCTGCTAAATCCAGCGGGGCGCTGCTGAGTGTTCCTAGGCCCTGCTATGTCGTGCTTGAACCTTGCAAAGCCTTGCCAGGCCTGGGTATTCCCTGCAGAGGCTTGGCAAGGCCTACGGAGCCCTACGGAGCCCTGCTGGGCCCTGCTGAAGCGATGCTATGCGCTGCTAAGCCGAGGTAAGCGTTGCGAAGCCATGCCCCAATCCTGCAAGCATCGGAGCCTTTTTTTTTTTTCCGATGGTGAATGTTACCCCCGCGTTGTGCCAAGTCGGGTTTGTCGCGTCGGGGCCCTGCGAAGCGCTGCTAAGCGTTGCTAGATTACTATCCTTGCTAAGCCTTGCTAGGCGCTGCTGCGCGAGCGCGTCGCAGCGAAGATTATTTTCAAAAGTACACCCTTCTGTTCGGAAGGGGAATGTGTCCCATTAGCAAATTGGGACTTCCCATGTGTTTTTCCAGAAGTTAAATTTGATTGCGATGTGGAAAATTGTGTTCCGGCGCGCGATCGCATCGTCACCTCTTTGGCATGTTTCTTCACGTGTACAATTGCGTTGAACTCTCGGGATTTTTTTCATTTTTTCCGGGAAACGGAATGTTGTTTTTTGGTCCCGAGAAAATCAATGTCATCTTCATTGACGAAAATCAGCCCAAAACCGTTTAGCACGGTCTCTAGTGCCTCCCCCGTCCCTCCCCAGAACTCCGACGTCGCGATTTTCTCACAGCGTGGGCCCCCTGAGGTCTAGACCCCTTCCCGGGGACCAGGTTTTCATCTGGAGTTGTGTGTTGACGGCCCCGGGGCCCAGCGAGGGTTACAGGAGACAAGACTGTACCATAAATGTCCAGTCGTTGTTTTCCATCAAGGAGAGGTTGGGGCCCACCCACGTAGCATGTCCTCCCTTCCTCCGCCGCCTCCCTTTTTCCCCCACAACCCGATGCGCCCTGCTGCCAAGCGACCGTCGGCAGGTCCTGCCGCAGCTCTTCCAGCTGCTCGAGCTGCTGGTGCACGACTTCATGGAACCCATCCCTTCTCGCCCTCGTCACTTTGCCCATGTCCTGGCCTCCGCCTCGGCCTCCCCCTTGCCGCCGCCCCTCGTCTCCTTTCTTTACATCACGAGATGCACAGAACAACAAACAGCTCGGGATGCCTTGCAGCGGCTGCGCCTCACTGAGTGCGCTCCTGGGGGTGCCCAGAGCGTCCCGATCGGCCGCGGGAGCCGAGGTATGGCCCGAAGATTTGATTTCTGTTGTGGCAGAGAAAAGCGGATGGCTCTGGCAAGTTTCGGCCCGTGGCCCGACATCTTCAAGCAAAACGGGAGGATATTGTTGTTGTTCTTGTTGTTGGTGGTGGTGTTGTTGATGTTGTTGGTGTTGTTGATGTTGTTGGTGTTGTTGTTGCCGTTGTTGTTGTGCTTAGGGTTGCTGTAGTTCTCTACCTCCAGGAGCCCTCGCTGGGCCCCAGGACGGCACAACAAATATTCGGAATGAGGAATCAGTCCCAGGGAGGGGGTCTCTTGGGGTCGACGTTGTGGATAAAAATGCACAGCGTCGGAGTTCCGGCTTCTCCTCATCTCATCGTCCTCCCCCTCGGACTTGTGTTCCCTCGCCCGTCCTTCCCTCCATACTTCCCCCCGCTCCCCCTTCTTCCAGTAGCTCTCGCGCGAGAGAGCCATTGGACAAAGGGGAGGGGAGCCATGAGGTCTCATGGCTTCCCTCAATCCTGGATCGAGCATAGCAGAGCAGAGCTGGTGGAACCATTCATAGTGATTGTGGTTATAAGTAGCGCAGTTGGCCCCACCAATCCAAGCTGTGTCCTCTTCTGTGGGCTTGAACAGATGCAGACCTTTGGGCCAGGGACACTTGCCAGACCCCCTCTGCCCTTGCCCGTCTTCGCAGTTGGTGGCGCGCCCGGCCGCCCCTCCAGGCCGGCACGGGGGCGCCAACCGCCTCTAGGGCTCATGGGCCCCCCGTTCCCGGACCGTTCCACGCCACTCGCCCACTCCACCCGTATATCCATCATCCGCACCCCCCACCGCAGGAGACGCCTGGCCAGCAGCAACGGCACGGCAGATCCCCTCGCCCATCCGTCTCCCTCCCCATCCCCCCCATGCCTAGCCCCTTCCCCCCCTATTCCGCTCCTTCCCCGCGCATGGCTGCATTTTCATTATATCATGTTCTCGATGGGAAGCGCCCCAGACAGGAGTTCCCTTGCTTGCAAATTTCTCGCGGCGGATCCAGGAATCCAGGCCATTTGCGAGTCGTGGAACGCGCTTGTCTGGTGACCTTTCGCAGGAGTGTTCCCCTTTGCGGGCGAAGTGGGGCCCCAAGCCGCTGAGCGCGAAGCGGCAGCAGCGCCCTGCGAGCCTGTGTGTTGGTCTCCCCGCGGCCCCCCCAAAGTCGCGCACCAAAGGTCACCCTTACCCAGGGCCAGTTTTTGCGTGTAGCCGACGTGGGCGAGGTTGGAGCACACAGGCCAAAGGTGCGGTTAGCATCGTTGGAGGATGGGCCGGGGTCTCTGCCCATGCTCGCCTCCTCGCTTGCAGGCGGCGGAGGCGTGGCCGCCTGCCCCATACATTCCAACGGAGGGGGCGGCGGTGGAGCCGGCAACTACACCTTAGCTGGAGGAGGAGGAAGATGAGGAGGAGATGGAGGAGGAGGAGGAGGAGGAGGAGGAGGAGGAGGAGGAGGAGGAGGGGAGGAGGAGGAGGAGGAGAAGGAGGAGGAGAGAGGAGGAAGGAGGAGGAGGAGGAGGACAGGCCGTCGAAAGCACAGGGAGGGAGGAGGCAGAGCGGCGGGTTCCGAGAGGTCGCGCGCCGACGCCGCTTCGCCGCCTCGCCCGCCCCCTGCGCGATGGCCCCCGCCGGCGCCTCCGCGGGAGAGGGACAGGCCCAGGACCCCCCTCCTCGAGGCGCGAACATCAACAACAACAGTGCGGCGGACGGCTCTTCGCTTTGTTCGGCCTCCTCCTCCTCCTCCTCCTCCTTTTCCCCTTCCTTTTCCTCCTCCGACTCCGACTCCGACTCCGACTCCTTCTCCTCCTCATCCTCATCATCATCAGCACCATGATCCTCCTCCTCCCTCGCCTCCTCTTCCTCCTTCTCATCCTCCCCCGCCTCCGCCTCATCTTCATTATTATCCTTCTCCTCCTCATCCTCCTCCTCGTCCTTCTCGTCCTCCTCCTCCTCCTCCTCCTCCTTCTCGTCCTCCTCCTCCTCATCCGCCTCCGCCTCCGCTTCCACTTCCTTCCCCTCCTCCTCCTCCTCCTCTTCTTCATCCGCCTCCTCCCTCTTCCTCCTCCTCCTCCTCTACCTCCTCCTCCTCCTCCTCCTCCTACTCCTCCTCCTCCTCCTCCTCCTCCTCCTCCCTCTCCGCCTCCGCATCCGCATCTGCATCCTCCTCCTTCTCCTCCTCCTTCTCCGCTTCCAACTCCTCCTCCTCCGCATCCGCCTCCTCCTCGTCCTCCTCCTCCTCCTCCTCCTCCTCTTCCTCCTCCTCCTCCTCCTCTCCTTTTTCCTTGTACATAATTTCTTCCTGTCGCACCCCGAGGCCACTTTTTAGGGTGGGCGGGGCGTGTGGCCTGAGACTTCCTTACCATTTATGATTATGAGGCGTAAAGTGTCAACCATTTCACGGATTGAGAGCGGATCGTTTTCAAATGTGGCTCTCGCCTTAGCGCCGCGTACATTCGTTTCAAACAGTTGCAAGAGCTTCACGGATTGAGAGCGGATGTAGCTCTCGCCGTAGCGCCGCGCACATTATGTTTAAGCATGTGCAAGAGTTTCACGGATTGAGGGCGGGTGGTTTTTTAAATGTGGTTCTCGTTGTAGCGCCGCGCACATTCGTTTTAAACAGTTGCGAGAGCTTCACGGATTGAAGGCGGGTGGTTTTTTAAATGTGGTTCTCGTTGTAGCGTCGCAGACATTCCTTTTAAGCAGTTGCAAGAGTTTCACGGATTGAGGGCGGTGCCTTTTCATAATGTGGCCCTCGCTCTAGCGCCGCGCACATTCTTCTATAACATTGCAAGGGTTTCACGGCTTGAGGGCGGTTCTGGTTCAAAATGTGGTTCTCGCCTGAGCGCCACGCACATTCGGGTTAAACAGCTGTAAGAACTTTATTGATTTCCATGATCAACGTATCGGAAATTGTGTTTTGGACGGGTTCAGGATTACTCGAGTGCAGCAGTCATGTTGATTCGCGGTGATGAAATCCCAGGAATGGCGATCTGGCGCAATTCCGGATTGCCAGAAGGCAGCAGTCAGCTTGATACGTGGCGTTGAAATCCCGAGAACAATGTATTGGCATGCTTCAGGATCTTCAAACGGTTGTCTTCCAACGAGGAAGTTCCCCCAACGGAAATGAACCGTTGTAGGGGCCTATGGAGAGGGAGTTTGGAGGGAGGGTTAATTCCAGCATCGTTGATGACCCTGGGGTTTACATTGATCCTCCTCCTCCTCCTCCGCCTCCTCCTTGGCCTCCGTCTCCGCCTCCGCCTCAGCCTTCTCCTCCTCCTCCGCTTCCTCCTCATCCTCATCCTCTTTCTCTTCCTCATTCCTCCTCCTCGTCCTCCTCCTCGGCCTCCTCCTCTTCCTCCTCCTCCTTCTCCTCCGCCTCCGCCTCCGCCTCCGCCTCCGCCTCCTTCCCCTCTTCCCTCTCCTCCTCATTCTCCTCCTTCTCGTCCTCCTCCTCCTCCTTCTCCTCCTCTTCCTCCTCACGCCCTCCTCCTCCTCCTCCTCCTCCTCCTCCTCCTCCTCCCTCCCCCACCTCCTCCTCCCTCTCCTCATTATCCTCCTCCTCTGCCTCCTCCGCCTCCGCCGCCGCTTCCGCCTCTTGACCCTCCTCGTCCTCCGCCTGCGCCTCCGCCTCCGCTTTCGCCTCCGCCTCCCCCTCCTCCGCCTTCTCCTCCGCCTTCTCCTCCACCTCCTCCTCCTCCTCATCATCATCCTCCTCCCCCTCCTCCTCATCCTCCCCCTCCAGCTCCTCCTATTCTTTCTCCTCCTCCTCCTCCTACTCCTCCTCCTCCTCCTCCTCCTCCTCCTCCTCCTCCTCCTCCTCCTCCTCCTCCTCTCCTGTTTCCTTGTACATAATTTCTTCCTGCACCACGAGGCCAGTTTTTAGGGCGGGCAGGACGTTTCGCCTGAGACTTCCTCACTATCTATGACTCTGAAGCCTAAAAGTGACAACTGCTTCACATATGGAGGGCGGTTGGTTTTCAACATGTGGCTCTCGCCTTCGCGCCGCGCGCATTCGTTCATACGGTTTGCAAGAGCTTCACGGATTGAGGATCACCCATTTTCAAAATGTGACTCTCGCTTCAGCGCCGTGTTCATTCGTTTTGGAAATTGTAAAATCGCAAGAGGTTCACGGATAGAGGATCACCCGTTTTCAGAATGTCGTTCTCGCTTTAGCGCCGCGCGCATTCGTTCGCAAAGTTTGCAAGAGCTTCGCGGATTGAGGGCTGTTATTTTCCAAAATGCGGCTCTCGCTTTAGCGCCGTGCACATTCGTTCATACAATGTGCAAGAGTTTCACGGGTTCCCACGATCAACGTACCAGAAATTGTGTGTTGGACGGATTCCGGATTTTGCGGATGCAGCAGTTACGTTGGTTCGCGGTGCTGAAATCCCAAGAATGGTTTTCTGGCATGATCCAGGATCGACAAGACGCAACAGTCAAGTCAATCCGTGGCGCTGGAATCCCGAGAACAATGTTTTGGCATGTCTCCCAGTCTTCAAACGGTTGTCTTCCAACGAGGCAGACACTTCAATGGAAATGAACCGTTGTAGGGGCCTATGAAGAGGGAGCTTGGAGGGAGGGTATATTCTAATATCGTTGATGGCTCCTGGGTTTACACTGGTCCTCCTCCTCCCCCTCTGCCTCCTCCGCCTCCTCCGCCACCGCCTCCGCTTCCGTCTCCGCCTGCGCCTCCGCCGCCTCTTCCTTCTCATCATCATCAGCATCATCATCACCATTATCCTTATCATCATCCCCATCGTACGAAACATTATCATCAGCAGCATC